GAATATGTAAGTTTTTGCTCGTTCTAATTTCTCACTACACTTTTAAAAATTAAAAATTATACTTACATAAAAAATTAAATCTCTCAGCCAATGAATAAATTTTTAAATTAAATTTATATATTAGTAAACAGTGATTTTAAAATTATTCTATCAGCTTATATAAATTATAGACATGTTTAAAATACTTATTAAAATAACAAAGATCAATTAATATAACAAATTTTATTAATCATAATTTTAAGGGTATGTTTAGCGCGGGAATGAATCCCATATAATTCTTTCAACATGAAAAGAAAAAATATCAGTTTATCGTTTTTCTTATTATTAGAGATAAAATTATATTCAACATCCTCAAAATTATATCATTTAAAGGGTTGAATATAAAGATGTCAATAATGGAATGTAGTGCATTTATCAGTAAATAATTTACATTTCGATCAAATAATAAACATTAAAAATAATTTTGGCCAATGAATCTAGTCAATATTTTCTCAATCTATTTTTTTTCTGGTTAACCCTTTTGATAAGTGATAAACCTATTAATTTTTTTTTCACCTTTTTTAAAATTTAAAGAATAAATCTCTTATTAATCAAAAGATAAAGAAAAAATTTTGTATTTAAACAAAGGAAAAATCGTATACATTTAAGTTATTTTAAGAGAAAGTAGATATAAAAAGGTGGGATTCATATTTTTATTTTATTTTATTTTTTCCAATAAAACTCATACTTATTTATATCTGCCTTTCTTAAAATGAATATACACTTTTTCCTTAAACAAACTCCTAATATGAACTTATTGAATCGTATTCCTTAAAGATAAGGAGTAATGAATAATAATGGAGAGTTTTTATGTGGGTATGTGAGGGCAAATTATGCGTGTAAATATGACAACATGAAAGTCAAAAAGTCATAATTGCTTTTCTAAATCATTTAAGTAACCAAATGATGACATTCATAACTTTTTATAATTGATAACTGTAGGTATAGGTGGCAAAGCAGGCCGGCCCGTCCTGACCCGCCGCCAACCTGCCAAAAACGGAAGACATAAATTATTTCAAATATAATTTGACTTGTAAGACTCATTATTTCAACAATTGATTTTCGTTTATCTAATAATTATAATTTATTTAAAATTAATAATTAATTAATTAGTAGAACTCAATAAATTATAATTATTACAGAGACATAAATTAACCATTAAAATAAGGAGTAAATTTTTTTAATTTTACACGGGATTCAAAAGATCCCTCTATTTCAATTAACTACTATGAAATAAAGAAGGGCACAAATATTTTCTTATTCAAAAATCTCATTTGCAAAGTTATAATGCAATGCATTTTGAAAGGAAAAAAAAAACGAAACAGAACTTTTTTAATAGGGAAAAAAAGCAATTATTGGCACAATTTTAACTCACATATTCTTCCAAAATTTCAAAGTTTTGTTCTTAAATTTCCAACAACAAATCGACTCCTAAAAAATGAAAACATATATAACAGGCAATCAACTATATGATTCAATTTGCTACATCACTCAGGTTAAGGAAACTATATACTATATTACTACAGAATTAAATAAAGGGATATTTTTTTCTCATGTTGTATGAGATAAATTATCTCATGCAACACATAAAAAAGTGGGTAGGACCACTTTTTTTCTTTCTCTCTCCTCTACTTAATGGGTCCCACTCATTTTTTTGTATGTTGCATGAGATAAATTGTCTCATGCAACATGAGAAAAACATTTTCCTTAAATAAATGTTACATGTGACCCTAAATGTTACTCAAGAACATCAAAGGACAGTGCTAAATCACAGCCATTGCCACTTATCCTAAAACACAACACTGTAAGCTTTTTCTTGCTAAACAAGAAGTTTATATCCAGACAGTTTGAACTGAGAATGTTAAAATGTTATGTTTCGCACAAGATTTAAAAGAAGAAATTTTATAAGGAAAGGAAACCTACAAGGAGGAGGATAATATATTCATTAAAAAGTTTATTCCTTGACCTACTGAATTATGAATTTTAAATTCTCCAACTCCTCCATAAACTTCCAAATCCATAATCAAAAAATGAATTGAAACATACAGTCGTAACTCATAACTTCCTTTAACAATGCAATGTCATAAGCTTATATGACGCACTAAGCTTCTAAACTACGAAATGAGCATCAGTATCCCTATCACATCTATCCAGCCACATAAATCAACATAATCCATAAAAGTCCACTCTAAACTCAAAGAGTTAAGTTACCAAGCATGTATAGCTGTTCAAGAATTAAGCTGCATCAGAGCAGACAAAAGAAATCCAACCTAATTATACAAAATAGTATTAAGAACCAAGAACATAATCATCCGCTATTCATTATGCATTGTCTACATTGAATATATATTTGTTGCGCGTTGACAATACAAAGCAAATTCAATGAAAATATAAAGACAACAGTCAAGAAATGGGAAAAGAAAGTCAAAGTGGAAAAAGAAGATGGAAATTACTAAAGTTTTCAACGTCTTTCATAATCTTCCTTATATCCATTTCTTGCTCCTGCATATTGGTATGTTCTCTTGAAGGTCCAAGCCCATCAACTTGTTTCTTATTCTTGTGCATCTTTCCCATCACTGCTTGGAAAATTGAAAGGAAAAAGATAGTTAAGAAAAGAAAAAGTCACAAACCAAACTTTGAAACTACAAACTCAAACTTTGTACTCGGGTTTGGTCTTTTTTATTTTTATATTTTCTCTGATCTTTGATCTGGTTATGCAAGTTCTTTTTGGTTTGGTGAGAATTCAATCTTTTTTTTTTTTTTTTAGTACAAAGAGAATTCAATCTTTGATACTTAACAACGAGTTACATTTTGAAGTTTAATGTTGGAGTTGCTGCCCTGTTTCGAAAAATTCGATTTGAAGCAATAAATTTGCGACGGTCATATCTTGAGTTGTACATAGCCAATTGTGACTTATGATATGTCGTTGGAAATTTCAAAATATCTAGTTTAACACAGTAAAATATGAGAATTTATAATAATGGCTGACGGTCCCAATTTTGCGGAATACCGTGTATGTTCAGTGTTAAATGAATAAGTGATAAAATCTAAAAGAGTTGAATGTTGATGATAGTTTTATCTTATAAATTATTAGTGTTTGGGCACTCGCACCCATTAAACATGTTCAAGGTAAGTTAATGTATAATTAGTTCAGGTATAAGAAGAAAAAAGTTTATATGTTGAGAGGTAATCCACCCTATGGATGTAAATGAGTCAAGCAGCTTAATAGGGGCTTACGGCCCAGTCTACATCAGGTCAGACTCGACTTAATACATATAGTCAAATTGAACATGATTAGACTTTTAAAATAGCTTATTTAAAAAGTAGGCCATAGACTTCTTTTACATGCCGAGCCTATAAGCCTACAAGCTGGTCTATATCATATTATTTATTTTAAATAAAATTATTATTTTAATAATTTTGAATGATAAAATAATATTATTTTAATTGTTGGATGTATAGGATTAAGAAAACTAACAGGTCTAAGTCAAATTTTTTGTTTTTAAAATATAGGGCAGACTAGACTTATAATTTGGGCCTACACAAAGTTAACAGACCGGACTAAGCGTAAAATACTTTACACAAACTTGATTTATTTAAGCCAAAATCTAAATCATTTACACCTTTGATAAATTATGCATGATGTCACAACGGCAGTTGATAATCTTTTCCTTGTTTGGATGGTAATAATTCCTTTGGAGGTTGATGAGTGTATTGATTATATTTATCTTACATTTATGGATGTACTTGAATAAATTCTTTGGTAATATTTTTTTAGTTTCTTTTTGAAGCTTGAATCTGTTTTTTTAAGTTGTTTAGAAAAAAAATTATTTAAAAAAAAAATTATTTTTAAAATTAAATATATATATATATATATATATATATATATATATAATTTTAAGATTCTTATTAAAAGTATAACAAGTAACTTTTACAAAATTATATTTCAAGACTTTTTTTTTAATTTATCCAAACGCATTCATTTTTTATTTTTGAAAAAAAACAGAACTGCCTATTTTTTTTTTTATGATTTTGCTTTATTTTAAAAACATATAATTAAATTATAATTTTTTGGAAGTATCTTTCAATTAAAAATAAAATTTTTTACTTTATGTAAAAAACATTTGTATTTTACTTTAAAAAAATCACAAACAAACTATCCTTAATGCTTTTGTGAACTGTCATGTATCCATAACTTGACAGGGATAAGTTCCAAAGATGCATAATAATTTTAATCAAATTCAAGTTCGTGTTAATAACTTATGATTATGTGATTAAATAAATCATAGGCGTTTAAATAATATGATGAATGGTTAAAAGAGATAATTGACTAATTTTTGGTGCGTTAAATAAATGTCATTAGATTTACAAGTGGCATTGTCGCCGTTGTACTATTATAGAATGTACGGTTCCTAAACCGTCAACGTCAACAGAAAAAGCAAATTAACTTTCTTGTAGCATTGAAATTTACATAAAGGACATAAAAAGATTGTAACATAATCAGCTTGTACAACAATTAGATTTGACAAGGTTCTATAATTGAACTCTCTGTGTCGTCTTTTCTTTTCGTGTTCAATTATAAATTGACTACACTAAATCAGATACCATAAATTAATAAACAGACGGTGCACTAATTGTTTGCTCCACATTTATATGTTTCGATTATTATAAAGATAATACAGTGCAGAATATTCCTCTGACACGTGTTAGATCTAAAGTTTATCTCTAAATTTTGGCTTTCATTTCGCTTTCATTTAGGTTATTGAAATGCTATGGTTGCCTGCATTAATAGGCTTTGCCCCAAAACTAAAACGGTATGTGGACCATGGATTCTCTAGAACCAATCTTGCACCTCATGAATCATACCCCACACACCACAGAGCATGCTATCTATTTTGTTGTTATTATGTGTTTGTTTCCATTATATGAATGAAGTAACTCAAAATAAAGTTGAACACCTTAATCTTTTTCCTCCTCCTATTAATTGAAATAAGAAAAGTTCAATTGCTTTTTAGTCTTTTAAGCTGAGTCCAATTTATTATCTAGTCAGATTTGCATTCATCTGTTTTAGTTTATTAATCAGTAGCACCTAATTCAAACCATCTTCCTAGCTTTATCTGTAGTAGCAATAGCATCCCCACCATTATTAACACTATCATCCAGCTGAATGATTGATATTCCCTTTATCTTCTCGCGTGCAATGGCTTTCTTATGCTATATCTTTCTCATATTTTGCTTGTTTGATATTCTGGCCTCAATTGGGCCATATCCAGTTGCAATTTGTTCAGCTAGTGATGTTCCAATTAATGTGACCAAGCACTTTTACTTTCCCGATTTCAGCTTAAGAAATAACCCCAGACTTGTCCATGATGTGAAGCTGCTAGGGAGTTCCAAGTTCTCAAATGAAAAGGGTGCTCTTCAAATCCCAAATGAATCACAAGATACAGATATAAGACATCAAGCAGGTCGAGGTATCTATTCCTTCCCAATTCGCCTGTTAGATCCAAGTACAAAGACCCCAGCTTCCTTTGAAACAACCTTTTCTTTTCAGTTGAACAATTCCACCAACTCTGAACAAGGTGCTTATGGTGGTAGTGGCCTCACTTTCATCATTGTTCCTGATGAGTTCACTGTGGGAAGGCCAGGGCCCTGGCTTGCCATGCTCAATGATGCCTGTGAGGATGATTACAAGGCAGTGGCTGTAGAGTTTGACACGAGAATGAACCCAGAATTTGGAGATCCAAATGACAACCATGTTGGCATCAACTTAGGTACCATAATATCCACTAAAATTATCAATGTTTCTGATGTTGGAGTGTCCCTTAAGGATGGTTTTGTTCACCGTGCTTGGATCAACTATGATGGTCCTCAAAGGAGAATGGACATTCGTCTTGGACTAGCCAACCAAGAAGTTTATCCATCCAACCCTATCTTCTCGGAATCTTTAGATCTCTCTCCTTATCTAAATGAGTACATGTTTGTGGGGTTCTCAGCCTCTACAGGTAACCATACCCAAATCCATAACATACTCTCTTGGAACTTCACTTCCACCAGCCAAGCTTTTCTTCGCTTCCCTTCATCTGAAACCTGCCAGGGTAAGATCTTACTTGAGAATAGTACTGAAACAATTACCAAGAAGTCTACTAAGGATGAACCACCACGCAGTTTTTTGATTTTTGTGGCTGTAGTGGCATTGGCTCTGGCTGTTTTCCTTGGTTTTTACTTTATCAGTAAGCATAGAAGAAATGCTGCCAAATCAAAGACTTCAGTGGAGGCAGAGATTCACAGGCCAAGGCCTCCCAACAAACCACGCCGCTTCACTTTTTCTGAACTTTCCTCTTCTACTCGATCTTACAATGAGATAGAGTTGCTTGGTAGTGATTCTAGAGGAGTATACTACAGAGGAAAGCTTTCTAATGGAAGCCAGGTAGCTGTGAAAAGGTTCTCAGCTCAGTTTCTAAACACACATGGATCAGATAGGAGACGTTTGTTAAAGGAAATTAAGACCATTAGCCAGGTTCGCCACCCAAATTTGCTTCCTGTGAGAGGCTGGTGTCAAGACAACCATGAAATCATGGTGGTCTATGAGTTTGTCCCCAATGGTAGCCTAGATAAATGGCTATTTGGGGCTGGTGTTCTTCCATGGACTCGGCGATTCAAAGTTATTAAAGATGTAGCTGATGGCTTGAGCTTCCTCCACACTAAGCAACTAGCACACAAGAACTTGAAATGCAGCAGTGTGTTTCTAGATGTCAGTTTCAGAGCTGTGTTGGGTGATTTTGGGTTTGTGCTTTTGGGGGCAGAATCAAAACAGTTTGAGTCAGCAGTGTGTCAAGGTGCGGATGTGTTTGAGTTTGGTGTCCTTGTGTTGGAAGTGATAGCTGGAAGGATAAGGGATGAGATAGAGCAGGAAAAACCAGAAGAGAGAAACTTATTGGATTTTGCTTGGAACTTGCACCAGATTGATGAGAAAGTGAAGCTGGTCGACAGAAGGATGGGATCGTTGATCAACTTGGAGCAGGCAATTCGTGTTGTGGAAATTGGTTTGCTTTGCACTCTAAACGAGAACAAAGGGAGACCCTCTATGGAGCAAGTGGTAGACCTTCTTCTTAACATGGAGAAGCCCATTCCTGAGCTGCCAAGAACTCGCCCTGTTGCCTTGTATCCCTATAATAGCGCCAACTCTGGCCTTTGCAATACATACTCTTGTACTTTTTAGTGAAGCCATGAAGTTACTGCTGATTAACTGGGTGATTTATGAATAATTAGGCAGGGGTCATTCTTAGGCTTGCAACCATGGATTGATTTTCTAAATGCAGCAAATGTTTAAGAGTGTTGTGTGTTTGTGGAGATGTTAGATAAATAATGTGTGGTAATTTTGTGCATATAAACTTGTGCAGAAGATGGTGAACATTGGTGCGATTTAGCATATGTTTTCGCATTTGGAAATGAATTCTTTTATATTAAAATTTTACATGATTTGAAATTATTTTTATCCCTTTCATCACATACATTAAATAAGATTCAATTACAATTTATCAAGATTACTAATGAAAGAGATCAATACAAAAATTTCACATCACTATATCATTTAAAATTCCTTCGCATCTCTTTTATCTTTAAAAGCTTCACAGCCAATCTATAAAAATAAACCACAGCTCCTAGTTCTTGTCGTCCATTTCTGTTTTCCTTTTGTTGGTGTTGCCGGGCTTTCAGCCCTCCTCCTGTACTAAATAAAAACCAAAAATATTACCAAAAAAACTTCACAGCCTCTATGCAGGAGTATTTGTTTTGTAACTCTAGTTAGAGACTTATTGTTATGTGGAAGTTAAAAATGGTTGTCATGGCAATCGTATTTGATTTTAGAAAACATGTCATTCCGATTGATTAATCTTTATTTTTTTGATCTGGATGTTACCATAAAAATTGAGTTCGGAGACGGATAGGAGGGATGCATGAGGGTTTAGTCTAACTTCAGTAGCTAGCGCTGATCATCTTTATCACTTTACTACATGCAAGCTTCATCTCAAGTACAATAAACGGAAACACTCAACTACTCAATGTCACTGCAAGAGAGTATATCCGCACTTGCTTTAAATGCATTATTAGAGAGCATGAAGAGTAATACAAAATGCTCTCTACTGAAGATCACTGAAAAATGCCAGAACTCAGAATACCCTCTACTGAAGTGTGTTTCACATTCATTCTGCCTTACAAAATTACTTCATTCATTTCATTCTAACAAGATAATTTCGAAAACGTGGCCAGAAATATAGGATGGAATTTCTCCATTACGTCATCAACCAAGGTGTAGAAGACACAAATTGTAGATTGTGGGTAGTTTAACTATAAACCAAACCACACCAACACCATCAATCAAGAAAGATATGAACTGACAATACCATCCATCGCCCATGGATGAAAGCAAGGGAAAAAAACTTCAAAATATGTATAAAGCCAGATAAGAAATAGCTATATTAAGGCGGTCACCCATTAGTATTACATTTAATTGACATAAATTTGAAAACTTCCAAACAATAATGCAAAGAATATCAATATATGAAAACATTATACATACAAATATAAGAATGGCCTGTATGGTCAATTAACAAAAGAAAGGGCAAAGAAATTCAAAAGAAACAAAAATAACATGTTCAAATTGCCGTGTAACAGAGATCAATGAATGCACCCAGTTGCCACAAATCTCACTACCACCATCACGTAACAAACTGCATCCTCGTAGATATACAATGATTGTTAAAAAAGACCAAACAACAGCGAGAACCCTAACACGATGAGCCACACAATGTGTACCAAAAGGAGTGCCTGACCAGGGAGAGGTGCAGATCCCCCATTCCCAACTTCACAGAAACCCAATTTCGCAACTTCGGCGCCGGCGCACGCGGCTTCGGCGCAACCGCACCAGTACGTCACGCCGTCCACGCCGCACACCGGATCGGTCCGAAAGCACTTGGCGGGGCAAGACGACGGCGTCGTTCGGGTGCACAGGCTCGGCCCTTGCGACGGCAACCGGAGGACGGAGGATTCTTCTTGTTCGGCCGTTGCAACGACGGGGAAGATGATGCACAGAGAGAAGATGACGAGAAAGCGAAGAAGAATGGATGGGACTTCTTCGGAGAATTTCGCCATGATCGGTTGTCTGAGAGTTCGACAACCGAATTCGACAGCCCAGTCGAGGAAAGTTTTAGAATTTGGATGCGAATGCTGTGGTTATTGGAAGATTGGGAATCGGAGGGTTTCGAAATTGAAATTGGATTGAACCCTAATTGACCAAGTTGGGGGGTTTCTTTTCTAGGTTAGGCAGGAGAATTGGTCTTTTCTTTTCCTTTTCTTAAAATAGGTGAAAATGAATTTACACCTAATTTGGAGAGAAAAAATTGAAAAAATGAAATGGTCTTAAAGTGAAGTAGAATTGGTCCCGAAAATAGAATTATTATGTTGTATGTAAAATAATTCCTTTTTGTATTGTCTCTCGTGAGAAATAAAAGTTTACAATAGAAAAGCAGAAATATTTGAGGAAGAAAAAAAAAATTTGGCATGTGGTAGTTAGGAGTTGGTTAAGGAAGAAAAATAATTGAAACCTAATCGTATACCATAAGAATTTTGAAATGAATTATACATATTTCGGATTATTTTTTTCTCTCTATTCTCATAAATTAAGGGGATAACTGGATAAGTTTCAGTTTTCTTATTTTTAATAATCTTTTTGAAAATCGCGAGGTATTTTTGTACCTTTGAAGTTTAAATTAATCCTCACTTAATTGTGAGTTATTTATACTTAAATTCATTTTTTATATACAGAATATACCTAGAACATACACTTACTTTTTACTCATGTAGAAAGAATTACTTATATTACAAAAGATAATTTTATTTCCTAAATATATATAAAAGTGTAGGATTCATGTTTTCTTTTTTTGTATGCTCTTCACATGGCCTCACATATTTTTATATATATGTAGAAAATAATTTATCTTTTATAATATAAAAAATATTAATCTCTTATATTAAACTAGCAAACAATGTTCATCTAATAATCACTTACAGGTCTATCTAATTGAGCTGGCCCGTCTACTTTTATTTATTAAATTAGAATATATTTTGAAATGAGAGATGATATAGTTATTACTTATTTTTCTTACTACTTGTTATTATCAAATCTTAACCATTGATTTTCGTCAATGTAACGGTTATAATTTATTAGAATTAATAATTAATTAATAAATATGATCCAATAAATTATAACCGTTTGATTGGCGGAAATCAACAGTTAAGATTTAGTAGTAACAAGAAGTAAAAAAACGAGTAAATACCTTTTTTGGTCCTCAGCAAATTTCAAGATACCCGTTTTAATCCCTAGCAAATAAAAAGGCCCATTGTGGTCCCCTAAGAAATTCAAAATAGACCCATTTAGTTGAAATCGTAGTCTCTCACAAATTCAAAAAAGACCCATATTAGTCCTTAAAATGACTAAAATGGATTCATTTTGAATTTCTTAGGGACCACATGGGCCTTTTTATTTGTTAGGGACTAAAGCGGGCATCGTAAAATTTGCTGAGGACCAAAAATGATATTTACTCTAAAAAACAAGTAGTAACTATAACCTTTCCCTTTTGAAATAATTGAATCTTTAGTTTACTTTTCTTTTAAAAAATGGCACATGACTTTATAATATTTTAAAGCTTAAAAAATTATATTTTTAAAATTTAAATATTTTTTTAATTTATTTTTAATTAATCTAGATTTATCATACATACTAATTTTATTATTTAAGAAAAATTATTTCTGCTTTTGATATAATTTTTTTTCTGTCACATCCGTATAAAAATGACCAAACTCTATTAATTTTTTTGCTTTTTCTAGTTATAATAAATTCATTTACTCACGTTTATGTGATTGTAGCAAAAAAAAAAAAAAAAAACAATAAATTGAAAACCCTATTATTTTTGTTGCACTAAATTCGCGAAGTTATAAATTTTGTTGTGTTGACAGGATGGTAAGAAGATTATAATTTAACACCGCACACGTATTACTGTAATCATTAATCTAGGGCTTGTTTGGTACACAGTACAAGGTAAGGCTTAATAGTACAAGATTTGATTGTATAAGATCTAAATGAATTTTAATATTATTCAGCGTTAGACATGATATTATATAAGATAATATATTGTAAAAGATAATATCATCTAATGTTTGGTAATGCACTATATAATACCAGATAGGATAAAAATAAATATTTTTGATAAAAATACCTTTTAATAATGAATTTATATAACTCTTCCAAATATATCAGATTATATTAATTTGTATAGAAATCTGTTGATCAGTGTGTCAAAAAAAATATGTTAATTTTTATAAAAATAAAAATCTCCAATATTTTAAAATTTTATATATTGAAAAATATTTTTTATTTTAGTATATAATATTAAATTAATATATTATTTCTTAAGAATTGCATTGGCTAATACATTAATTTCTTATTAGGCCTAATCCTACCCTCCTAGGCCTGATTAAGGTATACATCATTTTGATGTATAAAGGGATCATACTGTATAAACTTATACTATACGATGGTCACACTAAACAACTAAAAATGTCATAACATATAGTATAAGTTTACACTATCAGGCCTTATACATCACACCAAACAGGCCTCCAGTGTAAGCGAGATTTTTTTTTTCAAATTGATATATCATATTGCAAATAATTAACGCATTTGTATAGTTTTATGATAAAGTTTAATGTTTTTACTTCTGCAGAAATTTTTTTTGTACCAAACTTATATAAAAATGAGTTAATTCTACTAATATTTCTTGTACATACAAAAATGGATAGAATCCATTGATTTTTTTTCTTTCTTTTCTTCTTAATGGGATCACCTATTTTATTTTATTTGTTGTACATAAGATAATTTTGTCTCATTCAAAATGAAAAACTATATACCCTAAAAAAAATGTTATTTTTTGCAATAACTAAATAAAAATGGTGATGCAGTGAAAAATAAAACAAAGGCAAGACAATCTCCTGTCCCATTTCATTAAATAAATCACGAGGGTACAATAGAGGTAAATGTCCTTTTTTATTCCAATTGAAAATACTAATCAATTTTTCTTTTCAATCGCTATTGAAGGTAAAAAAGGGAAAATAATAAAGTTGACATAATAATAGACACGTACGGTCGTACGGAGAAAGAGAGAGAGCAAGAGAAAAAAGGAGGATGCGAGAGAAATTAGGGATGACAATTTATACCAGCTGGTTGTGTTGGTGTCATCTTGAGATTTGACATCAACACAAATATATAATACGTACGAGTACATATATTATTTTTGAATAACATCTTAATATACAAGCTTTTGAGGCATGATTTTCTTAAACCCTCCAGCGTTTTTTAGTGAATATTTATGTTTGAGATTCTTAAACCGTGATTATAGCCTTACATGCATTACGTATTTAGTAATTCATGAATCAATATTCGCTGTGAATGAATCATTTGGCCACAAAATCACCTTCAATGACAGGCTAATTTTGCTCTTGCCAACCAGATATTTTCTGCTAATATTCAGAGCCTGATGCTGCTATTGCTATATATATTACCTTCTACCACACTCAACATTCTCACAAACAAATATCATTTTGTAAGGTGAAGTAGGTTTGAACATTCCTCATCTCCAATCATGGGAGCATGTACTAGCAGACCCAAGGATCTTGACTTGAAGGAATGTGATGCCCCAACTGAGGCTCCTACACCAAATAAGGCTGAGGGAGAGGCTCTTGCTCAGGTTCTTTTCTTTTTCTTTTTTGTCATTTTTAGCCACAAACCTTGAATCCTAAATGTCTTCTTTTGTTATCTTTTTTTTTTTTTGGTGGTGGGTTTGTGCAGGAGGACAAGAAGGAAGGAGGTGAGACTGAGGATGAGAAGAAAGTGGAACCTTTAGTAGACCTCTCTGAGCCAAAAGAAGAGGAGAAGACAGAAAAACCTTCTGAGCCTGCTCCTGCTGATGCTGCTGAAACTGAGAAGCCGGTTGAGAAACCAAGTGAAGCAGCTGTCTCAGAAGAATGAAACTCTTGTTACAAAGTGAATGATGACAAGTTGACAACACAAGAGTTTAATGAATCTTATTATTGTGCAGATTGAATTCGTGATGTACAAGAGATTTGTCATATTCATTCTAGAATTGTTGGACTTTAATTATGAGCATCATGCAAGAATAGAAAATTTCTTTTATTTTTTATTTCGTTACGTATTTGTGATCTTTGATAATCTATTTTAAATATAAAACCATTCATGAAGCTTCACCTTGCTTAAACTTGGTCACTCGCAAACTGTAGCGAAGGACTAGGCTATACACACTTATTTTTATCTTCCCAAGTGCTTTTGTATGTATCAAATTGTTAGAGCATATAATATAAATCATTAAAAAAGTCCTCATCCAATATCTTAAGATTTTGAGTTGAAATGGTTCTTTATCATGAGGGGTCACGAGTTCGATCATTACTGCCCTCCATTTTCAGGTGAAATTAAGAAAAATACAAGGCAGACCAATAATGGACTTATGCCATATCCACCTTTCATGCCTAAAGGGCTCTTGCGTGAAGGGGTGTATTAGAGAATATAATATAAATCATTAAAAAGACTCTCGCCTAACACTCTAAGATTTTGGGTTGAAATAGTTCTTGTGTGGTTTTTAATTCTATTGAATGAATCAAATGGTTCTCTCTTAGCTGTATTAGCATAAGAGAATGCATGCGATCCTTGGCTGAAAAGACAAATAAGAATAATGAACTATAAGAAAAATGAACTAAAGACAGTTTGGCGGCACATTGTTTATTAGGCATTCCATTGGAAAATGAAATCTCGAGAGCAATTGGATAAGACTTATCTTATCATCAAATTCAAGGAATTGGAGCTCTGGAGTCACACTGGTTTAGACCTATACTGATGAATCATAGGAGATGTTTCTAAGATCGTTTAAAATTTCAGTACTGAATATACAAGCTGTAATTGGAGTTTGGCATGAATCCATTTCTGATAAAAATAGGCAAGGGCTTGTTCCCCTTAATTAAAACTAGCGAATTCGACTATTAAAAATAGAGAAAAAGGTGCTCTTGAGAGTCGCACAAATTAGTACGGCAGCATTCAAACTTGGTTTGGATTAAAAGAAAAGAACCTTAAGTTGCTGATCCATGCATAACTGCACTGGAAAGGGGGTTGTTGTTAATAAGGTTTAAGGCCAAAAGTGACCCATAAAAAAAAAAAAAAAAATTGCCTTCCCAAAATCCCAGCAGATCAGCTTCAGGTTTTGTACTTTCGATTCCTAGTTGAAGTATTGTAAGAACTACAAATTA